AAATAAGTTGAAAGTTAGGGTATTTTCAGCAAATATTAAGTATTATTTGTTGTATGTAGACTGTGGTTGGTAGTATTTTTTGATCACTCTCTCTGTCATGGAAAATCTTTTCTTTATCACAACTCCTAAAAGAGGCAAAAGTGCAATTATTCACTTTATCAGCTCTCAGATCTTTCTTACAGTTTAGTTTTAAATAGAATGACAGTTGATAAGTTTAATTAAGCATTGCTTAATGAGGGCAGAGTCTACCCAAAGGAACTACATCAAAGTTCCTCTGCCAAAAAGTAGGATAGCAAAGTACAGCTGTTTTTGTATAAGTTTCTCTTAAATTCTGTGTATCCTGATACAGGATGCAATTAAATCTAAATTTTAAAATTTAATTCAAACCAAGATTTTAAAAGAAGCTGTGAGATATACATACACAGATTGAAACAATATCCATGGAACTAATTTCTGATAATTTCTTATTGCGCATCATTGTTGCTTAATATTTATCCTCTTCATTAAAAAACAGTACATGAGTTCAAAGATATTAAGGAACAATTATTCATTATTCCTCAGACCAAATCACTTAATTCTTGGAACTTCAAATTATTTATGATCACAGTGCAGATCTAGCTAGAATCAGCTATGTCTGCTTTCTTCGATACATGGAACTACAGCATATATAGATTACAAAATAACGTAGTCTATAAAACAAAATTTACCTTTTTTACACAGAATCACAAAATAGTTGAGTCTCAGAAGCACCTCTACAGATCCCCTAATTCAATCTCCCTCTTCAAAGCAGAGGCAGTGATCCTGTTGGGTTTTGAACACTTCTGGGTATAGGAATTCTTCATCCTCTCTTGACAGTCTGCAATATCTGCAATATTTCAATAAGTTTAACATATGGCACCATTTAAGATTTAAAAAGTTCCTTTTGTTATGTAAGCAGTTGAACATAAGGAGTGAGCTGCATTTTGCATTTCTTGATTGAGCAACTGTAAAACATACACAGGGACTGTGAGCAATGCCAGCATAGTCCTTGCTATTACATAAGCTTTTTTCTTTCCTGGCAGTTGATCCACATATGAATAAATAGTCAGCAATCAGAGGGCTTAGCAGTTTAGCATAAAACAATCAAAATTATCAACAGATCTTCTGTCCAAATCATATGGTAATTCCAAGCAAGGACCAGCTCCTCATATTTTGGTACAGGTTTACTCAGGATCCTGAGAAATTTCATACAGTGTTGGAAGTATGGTCCTAGATTTAAATACGAACTCATCTTCTTTCCATATTATTCAAACTTTCTACTCCAAAATTCTCTTACCCAAAATTACACAGTTCTTCCAAAGGATGCTGAATGCTCCCAGGGGACCCCAGGGAATTATTTCAAGTTTCATGAGTACTTAGCTTCCGTTTCACAAGCTGGCAAATGACTAGTCAAAATACCAGAAAAAGGAAATCAGTTCTGCAGAGTTTTCGGGTTTTATTGTTATCAGTTAACAGATAACTGGCATACTCATGCAAAAACAATAATAAATGCTTGCACTTTACTACTTGGTAAAAAGAACCTGACAGTCTTGAACAGCATTAAGCTTCCTGTGTTAAGTATGGCAACACATGCAATACAGCCAAATATCACCCTCTCTTTCCTTGGATGGTTTTGATGAAACCATCAAAGAAGGCCCAATGGGTCCTTCCTCACTTCTGCAGCGTAAGCACTGACCCTACGTCCAGGAGCAAGCTCTCAGTTTAAGCCCTGAGAGCAGTAACTATAACAAATACTGGAGACTTAGAGAGATTTATTTGGTGCTTATAAAAAAGAACATAATGGCTATACTGTGTCAGAGGAAAGGTACACTTCTATTTTGATAATATCTCCAGCTGTGGCCCTTAACAGATATCTATGGAAGAATATAAGAACATAGCAGTCTTCTCTCTTTCTCTCAATGTGTTAGAACTGTAGCATGGTTTTTTAAGGGAAGGGATGGTATTAAATCTGGATATGTCCATTACATACTTATGAATGTATAAGGTTCCCTCTCTGTAATAATTATTTAGTGATCAGTGGAAAATTATGAACCACTTCTTATTCCATGTTCTAAATGTCACCATACAGCAGATAAAAAAAAGGCTGAGCAAATCATGTCTGTGAGCACACTTGTGGAGCAGGGAGGAGGTCTTGATGTTTAAAGCTGATCTGCTGACTCTGGGAGCTGATGTTGCTAAAAATAAGTAATTGATCACCATCAATTACTTTATTTTATCATTTTTTTTTGTTTATTTATAAACTGGTGATTTGAAGCATACAAAATTTTGGAAATGTGACTATCCTGTTCTGACTACCAAAGACCAGTGACAGAATGTGATTGGTTTTCGGCAAAACAAAACTTTATTGTCAGTCTCCTGTGACTTCTTGTTCCTTTTTTTCTCTTTTTGTTGATTAGTCTCGAATTCATCCTGAAAATTTTCTTTGTAACTTTTTTTTTTTTTTCCCCAAGCAAAGCATGTATAGCAGTTAGACCTTGAGAAAACAGAAATCAGCTTCTTGCCTAATTTTTTTTCCTTAAACCGCAGGGCTATCAGTCAGATCAGCTAAGTTGCATTGAAATTGCTTGATTTTAAACATTCATGATCCCCAAGGCACACAATGAGAAGAAAATGCCCCTATACTGACAGCTTAAATGGATCTCTGCATGAGCCAAGGCTGCTGAGATTCCATTTCCTTTTGGTTTGCTGCTTTGTTCATGTGCGCGTGGCCTTACTGACCAAGCGAGTGAGTGCAGTGCCATTGCACACACTACTGGAACTCTCACCAGTAGAAATTAGACTCTATTTCCAAATCCCAGCACTGCAGTGGTACTCAGCTAGGCTCTTCCTGCTGGTCTTTTAAATTAAACTGAGTCATTGATGATAGCCTTACTGCTCCCCTGGTAAATTTTCTTCTGAAGCCATGCAAGCAGGAGGTGATAAAGCTAGGACAGCAGCTGGTAGTATTTTGTCAACAAAGTGTTGTTTTTGTTTGTTTTTGTTTGTTTGTTTTTTTTTTTAGCAGAAAGATATTAATCACTTTCTCACATACCTAAAACTTTTGGGTTTTGTTCTTGTTCACTGCTAATACATGGAAAAGGTGGTTTTGCTTGTCTTACTCAGGGGGTTTATACTGTCGTGTATAACACCCTATGCCATAATAGTAGTGTGAAGTCACACACTGGCAAGAAAACAAAAATAACTTCAGTTGCTTCCTTTCTAGAAACGTTCTAAAGACAGAGCTCATACTGTTATATTTGTATGATTAAAAATCAGGGGGACGTGCACATGATCATAATTACTGTTGCTTTATTTCAGAGGAACTGAGCTTAGAATCAGATCTGCTTTAACAAGCAAAAGCAACATCATGTTTTTGAATCATGGCTGGTAAATGAAAGGGGCTAAATTTTAGAAAAAGTCAAATCTATTTTAGCATGAAGCAGATGGCTTTACTGCCTTCTGAGCATCACTTTTTAGTCATTTTGCACAGTTTGTATTTCTGTAAATTGCTACAAACAAAATGATAAATTCTTGATTATAACAGTTACGATCAATTCTGATAATTCAACTCCTAATTCATGGAATCCAATGGAAAATTTTGGAATATAAAGTTGTAGTCTTTATTTCTCATATTCTTTCATTGTCAATTTAATCTGCTTTATTCCATAAACAGTTTTCATTATATTTTATTTAGCAGCATGTTTTTCTATGAGTTTATCTCCACATTTCACTTCACTATTTTTCCTATTTGTTATATGCAACTGCGCAGGATTTTGAAATTAAAATATGATCCAGGCGAAGACTTGGTTTTATCTGTGTAAGTGGTAGCAAGCTAAGTGTTTGTGGTTTTCCTTGCTGTGTGGGTGGTGTGTTTTTCAGATGCTTTGTAATTCATTGCTTCTAGTGGACTATTAAGAATTCAGTATCTTGTCCTATTAAGCAATTTTTTCCCACTAGAGCCAGGGGCTTGGATTTTGATGTTTGTACATTGGTGAAAAGTTAATCTTTTTGGAGTTAACCTTATGATTAATTATTACAAAATATGAACCCAGTTCTCAGAGCCTACAAGTCCCAGATATGAATCAATGGCTTGCTTTTTGTAAGCATTTCACTCTAACCAAAAGATTCTCACCTTATCAGAATACACCTGACTTGATTTATAGAGGGATTGACTGTGGAAATACTGAATATAAAACTTTTTTATAGAGATATGTTGATCCATACCGAGTCTCCTGACTCAGTCCTGAGACACTTGGAAGACACAGCAGCTTAGATCAGTATTCAATATTTTTCAGCCTGATTATCATAGCTCTGTTCCTACCTTCCACAGTGAAGTATGTTCAGCTATTTATTCAGTTTTTCCTGAGAAAAGATATGGAAGAAAAATTTAAACCTGATTATTACCCGGCTGATGTTTGAAATGTGGAAGCACATCATTTCATTAAAATCAGTTAGCCCAGCTGCCTTCACTTCTTTGTATTTTCATAAGTGATAAAGTAGAGAAAATATATTTGAATTATCAAAACATATTCACAAATTAATTCTGTTTTGAAGCTTGGCTTCTCAACAGCCATTTGTCACTGTAGGAAAGAGTTATCTTCCAAGACCATGGCTGGGCAGGAAATGTCTGATTATATAAAATGTTTTGGTTTCTTGCCATGTTGGTAGGTGTGCATGTTTTTGATATTGCAGAATTTTTCAGTATCATGCAACCCAGACTGTGGAGAGTGCATGTATAGTTTGAATCACAGAGCATTGATTTCTTGTCTTGTTTCAGCAGGTAAGTTATAGCTGAAGGGACAATAACATTCAACACTCTAATCTGTGTGAAGTGAAAGGGCTGTGCTAGTGTGCTGTGCCATTTAAACAACATTCAGTGAATGTCACACCAAACCTTATTGTCAAAGCAAGACAAGAAGAACCTGTCTGATACCTCTGTCAAAATCTGAGCCCTTGACCTCATCCTTTTTTTCCCTTCATAGGAATGCAGGTGTTGGAATGGAATGGCATCCCCTTGACTGGGAAGACTTATGAAGAAGTCCAGAGCATTATTATTCAACAGAGTGGGGAAGCAGAAATATGTGTAAGACTGTGAGTTTTTCCCCATCTTTCTGTTTCCATTTTTTTTTGGCTTTTCATGGCTTTTTTTTTTTTTTAATTTACAGTTGTTAAGGTGGAACCTTTGTTAGCACAAAACATCAGTGTAATAATAAGCAAGAGTTCACTGTGAGTGTGGGAGATCTGTTTGTTCTGGTTTTCTTTTAAAGTCATAAGGAAAAATAAACTGAGTGAGATCATAATAATTATACTTTTATAAATAATTATATCTCCATTTTCAAGCCACAATCTCCTCTCATTGACAAACATACAATTCACTGAATTTACTGGTGTTAGAAAAAGATGGTGATTTGGTAGTAACTTGAATTTAAGTGAAATCTGTATCCTTTAGATGAAAATCATTTAAGCGTCATAAGAAATGCATAAACTTGCATTAAATTCATTAAAGATTTCACCTTAAAAGAAGCTTTTCTTCTCAGCTCTTTAACAGCATTGCCAATATGTATCAGCTAAGAAGGGACCATGCTTGGGAGCTGCTTTCTGTCATGACCCACTATTCATTTACCTATTTAATACAATAATGAGGGTATGAGGAAAGAGTTTCTTTTGTCTCAGGCTTCTCATTGCTTTCTTTAGGGACCTGAACATGCTCTCGGACTCTGAGAACCCCCAGCACCTGGAGCTGCATGAGCCAGTAAGAGCAGGTGAGCATCAAGGTGTTGCTTGATGATATTGTAGGTCTGGATAGCAGCTGAAAACTTGATGTGATATAAGCTAGAATGTTAACATTGTAAGCTCAGGTGTTACACCCCAAATATTGCCATGGGTAAAAAGGGGACCACACCTTACATACAAAGGCAGGAGGAGGGGATCGAGTTCACCCTCAATGTGTTTGCAGACAACACCAAGCTGGGCAGTAATGTTGATCTGCTGGAGGGTAGGAAGGCTCTGCAGATGGATCTTGACAGTCTGGATCAATGGGCCAAGGCCAATTGCATGAGATTCAACAAGGTCAAGTTCCAGGTCCTGCACTTGGGTTACAGCAACCTCATGCAGAGCTACAGGCTGGGGAAGAGTGTCAAGAAAAGGACCTGGAGGTGCTCGTCGACTGTGGGTGAGCATGAGCCAACATGTGCCCCGGTGGCCAAGAAGGCCAGTGGCATCCTGGCTTGTATCAGCAATGATGTGGCCAGCAGGACCAGGGCAGTGATAGTCCTCCTGTACTCAGGACTGGTAGGCCATACCATATTCTGTGTTCAGCTTTGGGCCTCTTCCAAGAAGGACACTGAGGTGCTGGAGCATGTCCTGAGAAGGGCAACAGAGCTGAGGAAGAGTCTGGATCACAAGTCAGTTGAGGGAGCTGTGTGTGTTTAGCTTGGAAAAAGGGGCTCAGGGGGAATTTTATCTCTCTTTACAACTACTTGAAAGAAGGCTGTAGTTGGGTTGGGGTTGATCTCATCTCCCAGGTAACAAGTGCTAGGACAAGATGAAAGTTGCATAAGGGGAGGTTCAGGTGTCCTGAGGAGTGTGCTGGGAGGAGTATGATGTTTGTGGTGGGAGTTTTTGACTCCTCCTTGCTGGGAGGTGGGTGATGTTGATAATTCCTTCCTATTCACATCAGGATCCACTTGTGCCTCTTTTATGTTTTCTACTATACCTTACTCTTTCCCCACTGTTGGTCTTTCCCCACTGTTCAACAACTCTGCATTGCATAGGACTTGACTGGATAGTGTAAACTTTACATGTGATATACTCTTGTTCTTTTTCCTTCTGTTGCCTTTAAGGCTTACTTTGCCCAGCCCCTGAGTTTGCATCTCTGCTGGTAGCTGACCAGTGGGTTGTTGGTTTCACGAGTGCCTCCACTTTCATCCTGTGTCCAAACCTTGCAGCACTGCTGTCTCCCCAGGCCTCAGAGACTCTTATAAACATCGTTATTAATCTGGAGTCATAAATACTTCAATTTGCACAGTGCAAATACTTCTGTGCCTTTCTATATAAAAATTATTAGGAATGGCCACTATTCCATACAATCATACAGTATAACTCAGGCAAATTAAGGTTGCAGCCATCCTGTCATTCAACAACTGCTGTTGCAGCCAGACAAGCTAAAAAAAAGCTCCCAGCAAACTGCAGCAAATTCAAATAACACACAAGTCCTGAGGCCTTTGTTCACAGAATCATAGAATTGTCAGTGTTGGAAAAGACCTTGGCGAAAAGACCTGTTAGCTTAATACAAGGTTTGTGGTCTGTGATAAGTGATGAAAATACAGGCATGCAACAGCAGTAGTCAATGTGAAGTTTTATGTGAGTTCTAAAATGGCAGTGCTTTTGAGGGGATTCCCTTCTATTCAATCAATGCCATGACTGCAGGCTCCGTTCATTTTATCAGTCATATCTAATCTAACTTTGAATCAATATGGACAATCTTACTAGTAATGCAACCCCTCAGCAAGCTCAGTGCAGATTAAAAGACTGTTTTGCTCAGAATTTCATGGATCTATTCCGAGTTTTGTGGTTTTGCGGCTTCTGTTTTATCAATCAGTACATAAATTGTCTGGATTAAATCCTCTATTTTCTGATCATGTAACATTTCCCAGCTAATAATATACTTACTATAAAGCTACTTTTTGTTGAAAATGGATGTTATTGGTAATAATTGAAAGACAAGACTAACTCTGACAGAGCACTGAGGCAGAGCTAACCATAATTATTTTCTTTGTGAGCAGATCAAGAACACCAAAGACATCCATAGACACTGAAATTAGATTTTGAAAGGATAGAAGATAGAATAAACAACTTTTTATTAATAAAGAAAACTCAAAGTGAAAAAGAACAGAAATAAAATTAAATTTTTCCACTCTTACAGGCATGCTTCCTCCTAGTCTGGTGATTTTCTAGTGGTTTCTGAGTTGGAACAACTCTGTAGAGTGCCTTCTGGCTGCCAAGTCAAGTCTTGCCATTACCACTGAGGTTTGGCAGACTGGGCTTTGGAAAGGAACAATCTCCATTCTCTCTGAAAGCAAATGAATTAGAGCCAAGCAGGCAGTATGAGACTTCTGTCTTGCTTTAAACCTCTTATACTTCTGAGAACCTGGGAAGGAAGCTGTCCCTAGTATCCTTTTAACTCTATGCAGTTTAAGGCATATATGGAACTTACCTGACTTCATTTCTGTGTTAAATGGAAATTGCAGTCTCCAAAGGGTGAATTCCTCCCACTCGTTCCCAGGCAGCAGGGAGGGCATTCAGACTCAGATGTCTTACATAGGTGTGAGTAATAAGGAAAGATGAATCAGGGCTTTTATTCTTCATTTGTTTTCACTTTATTCTGCTTTGATTAATTTGTGGTGCTAAAGATTTGAGCTTTTTTTCTCTTTGGTTTTGTATAAATTATCTCAGAAGCAGAATTCAGTTATATTGAATGTTCAGCTGATTTAAAAAAACAAACAAAAACAAAAAACAAACAAACAAACAAACCAAACCAAAACAAAACAAAAAAAAGATTTAAGCTTTTTACAAGAAAGTTGAGATACTTAGTGAACCTGGACCAGTTTCAAATATTGAAAGACAGTACAGTCCAGTCTTTAAATCTATAATTTGCTCCAGTATGAATCAGCATAATCAGCAAGGCCTGTTTTTCTTCAGCTAGAAGTACCTTCTCTTCGACTAGAATTACTTTCTTAGAAAGCTTTCAAGGTAAGTAGCACTAGTTGACAGAAAGATTGGAATTGGAATGTCAGTGTTGTGTGAGAGATGTCTAATTTTTATAGGTTGCCTTTTGCGTCTTCAAAGTGTACAAGGAGATGACATGAAAAATTGTAAAGATCATTATTCTGTCCCTGTACCATGGCAAGATGGATTTGGATGTGCTGGCAATTATCAACACAAAGCTCTCTTACTTTAATCCAGTAGATAAAGCGAAGTCCCCGGGGGTTGATCCCAAGCAGCTGGCTGCAGAGCTCCAAAAGGTTTCTCTACAGCAGTCGCCTCTGGTTGCTTCCTCAGGAGTGGAAAAGGGATCTCATGTCCACTCTGGAACCACTTCTGCCACCTCCAGTGCTGTTCCTAGCCCTGGTCAGCCTGGTTCTCCCTCAGTGAGCAAAAAGCGCCACAGCAGCAAGGTAAGAAACTTCCCAAATATGCAGCAATAATATTTTGATGACAGGAAGAAACTGCCTGTTTAGTGTAGCAAGAAATTACAGCACGTTGGTGAATTCATTTCCAGGACGGTGATGTATATTACTGTTAAGATACTGAACTTGGATATAAAAAAAGATTATGTGATTTATCCAAGGTCATAAAAGATTGGTCCATATCTAAAAAAAATTTTTTGAACTTAATATTACTGGTTTTGAACAACAAAATTGCCCTTTGCTGTCTTTGTTGCTCTTGCTATTTAAGTACATCCTACATTATGGTGAGGTACTAGTTTCACTGAAGCAGCTGATATTAGTAAGACCATAATTCCCTCTCTATACTAAACTGCTTGAATTGTTACAAGCTATGAATAACCAGAGCATGTCTCTGAAAGCCAGGGAAAGAATGAAAATGAAAGTTACTGTTAAAGTTTGTTTTTTCACCAACTAATTCCTGTGAATTTGCTAAGCATAATTTCTTATATTCTTTGCCATATACTGTCCATTTTTCAGCTGAAGTTCCTTCTCCTTGTGCATATGCACACCTGAAAAGGGAAGAGTGGGATTTAGTAACAGTTTTTCACAGCGGAAACTGAAAATGGGATCATAAAGTCATTTGCCACATTTTTGCATTTTGTGTCTAACAAGTTAAGACCTGAAGTGAAAATCAATTCTGTGAAGATGGCATTTGCTTAAGCAATTTTCGAGAGTGCTGATTGCTCTCCTGAATATCCAGCTTCTCACACTCTTACCATTAGAAACAAAGCTTCACATTGCAAACAGAGTGCTTTCTAGATATTTATTAATCATCATCTTTATTCCTTCTTGGGACTGCCAGATTGCTATTGCATTAAAGTATATTTGTATTTTTGTTCTGTTGGAGCTATGCCTATTATTTGAACTGTGGATGAGTTAGGTGCTGCACAAACCAAACCCAGCACCTGGTTTGCTCATTTCAGATAGCTCTTCAATATGCCAACATAACTTTCATGAGAGGAAACATAAAATACCCTTTCATCCAGCAACTAGTACAAACTGTAAAGATATTTATTGATCAGTTTGGTTTGGATAGTAATTCTGTCTTTCCACAATACCTACAGATGTTTTATGAACTAATTCAGGTCCATGATGCAGAAGTTACATCTATATGTCAAGATTTACTGGGTCTAACTTCAGGGATCTGGCAGAATTGCCTAATCATTAAGTGAATAGTTGGATTCATTGCAGCATACTGTGGATATTGTATACATCTACATATGAACTAGTTTGTCATATGCATGATTTTTGTCACTGAGAATAATGCACTTCCAAAGTACAAATCATGAGACTGGGTGAAACCTGCCATGGCAGTGCCTGGAAAGGGCAGGGCTCTTGGCACATGTCACACTACCTACTCTGAACCCCCTTTCATTTGGTTAGATGAATCATGATCCTAAATTCACTGCACAGTGTAAGTATGGAGATCCAAAAATCCTTGCTGTGCAGTGTATGCTGGAGAGGTGCTCCTCTCTGTCCACATGAGGAGACTAGGTTCCCAGCTTTGGCACTGTAGCAGGTCACGTAAAGTTAGATGCATAAATTTAATTTCCTGCTTCACAGAAGATTCGGTACTCTTTTATGAAAATTCAGCTGGAGGCTTATAAAGATGAAACAAAAAAAAATATTAGAACTTTATGTAGGAAATGCAAAACTCAGGACTAGTCAGGTAAATAGTTAAAACATTCTTTGCTTATTTCTGAAAATCATGTTGAGAGGCATTTCTTTCATAACAACCATAGCTCTTGTTGACTTGCATAGTTTCTGTTCATTGACTGCAGGCCAAGTTTATAATGGTGTTGAGCTCTGTTAGAAGAGAAAGCTCATCCTTTCTGGAACGGCTCTTTGCCTTGGGCTGACAGCATTTCTAGGCAGGCTGCAGCCCTGCCAAAGTATCATGACAGACTAAATAGCCAAACTGCCTAGATCTTGATTTTGCAACTTGCTTTTATTTTTAGCAAGTATTTTTTAAAGCTTTTTGTATAGAATATACACTCTAGAAATGTTGTAGGAGCCTCTTTGGTATTCTGCAGTGCCAGTTGTCTCACATTTAATACTTTGTCCGATTGCTGCAGAGAGTGATAGTGCATAGCATCAGAGCCTGGCATTAACAAGTTTCACCTCACGGTCGTGACAACCTTCTTCAGCAGGTGTGATGGCATTACAAAGCACCATCTCTTATGCAGGGTGTGTGAGTTCATGCAGGGAGTATTGAAAGAAATTAGAATAAAATTATATTAGCCATCTCAAGACAGATTTAACCCTTGGAAGCCTTGAGTTCACTATATGCTGTGCAGACCTTTCTCTTTTGTATTGTAAATGCTTAATCTGCGTATGGTGCAGATTACATCCATATAAATGTCCTCTAGAAGCGCTAATTGCTTTGTATCTTAAAGAAGAATGGGTTAGTTTTTTTTCTAATTCCTCAAATCTTTTAGCTCCTAGAGAATTCTGGAGTGAAATACTTCTTCTTCTTTTCACATTAATCCTCACTGAGGCCCTGATAAAGAAAGATACTTATTTACATCTCTGCCTTTCAGTCCAGATCCAACTTCAAATTTGGCCCAGTTCTGAGCTGGAGGTTAGACCAGATGACCTTGAGAGGCCTCTTTCAGCCTAAATTATTCATGTTTCTTTTAAATATATAGGTAGTTCTTCATGGTCATTTTTAAATCTCCTGATAACAGAGAGAAAAAAATATCATATTTAATATAGTGTATCAGGGCCTTGGAAATGAATACAGACGTTCAGCAATGATATAGAAACATTTATTTTTACAGACTCCACTTTACAAACTCCCCCTTTAACCACCTTTGGAAGTCCCCATACAAATTTGTCATGCCATTCCCTTTTCTACAAACTCCTACATTATCTGTACTAGTACATTCCATATTACATGACATGCAGAGTGAACAAACCCATTATTCTTGCTATTCCAACTTGTGAAAAATGAGAGCATTTAGACTACCCGGCAGTGATTTTGTAGCCACAGCACAGCTAGCTCCATGTTATTTTTGGTGTTGTCAGTATTGTCACTGCTAGTACAGCCTGAGGTCAGAACTACTAAGTATAATAAAATCCATTTGTAGAGGTAAAGTATGAGAAGTATAAGCCGTTCAAGCCCTATTTTGAAAGTTTGCATGATGCTCAGGTAGCTCTCTGTCAAAAGGAGTGAAATTCTCTCTCTGAAGAGTCTGCTAAGGTGCAAAGAAATTTTAGGAGCAGTTTGCTATCAATCTAAAATTTTATTTCAGATTTTGAGCATTTTATAAACTATTGATGACCTATTTTAGCTGTTAGAAGGATTAAACTTCTTTAAAAGCTTTTTAAGGTACCAAGAAGATCTAATTTTAAAATTTTCCATGAGAATCATTTTTAGAAACGTGCATTTGCTGAAAGATGAACTTTGGTTTTGTTTCTTTTCTGGAAAAGTTTGTGTTCATAAAGAAATACATCTAGAAGGCAAGGTAAAGCAGTACAGCAAATAAGAAGAAGGCAACACAGGACAGTGAACATAACCATAAAACAGGCAGATTTTGGCTAGTTTTCTCCCGTGTTTTCACTGTGCTGGTGTTTGGCTGGGATTTTTCTGGTTAGTTCTGTTCTGCAGATCAGAATGTTTGATCGGAATGTTCACCACAAACCTGAAAAGGGTAGTGCATCACCTCTGCTTTAGGCTCTGGTCTGGGTGACATGGGCCCTGCACTGACCTAATTTAAAACAATTGATGCCCAACATCCTGAGAAAGTCTCTAAGGGTTTTCTTGGAGTATAGGGCAGCATAAAAGAGGCAGATGGGTTTTACTCTTCTCAGAAAGCGATAGAAATACTAATTGCACAGAATAATGTCAGGCAGCTGCTCACATCTGGAGGAGCAGGAAAAGATGGCTTCTAGATCAGTCTTCAGAGAACAGTAAGTTTGTCCTTGTTTGCATCCTTTGTTTTCTGCTGCATCAACCAAGGAAGCAGATGTGGAGAGAATGCAAAAATATTCAAATCCTGCTAACTGAACCAGAGCTTTCTTGCTTGACTGATGGCTTGCAGATTAGAGGTAGGTCCAGAGTGGCTCAAGGGCAGAAGCGTTTAATTGAACAGCATATTTTTGTGAGTCCAGGATTCTAGGCAAGTGGTGATATTATTTTCCAACTGCTAAAATACAGGAGTGAGGAAAAGGGGAGGAGGGAAAACATTAAAGATTTTATTGCTTTTTGTCAAATCCTTACAGAAGTTCAGTGATAAAGAACAGAGAGGAAGGGGAGGACAAAAAATTTAAATTTCATGGTACAGAACCTTTGTGGAGGAATTCGAAGATGAAGTGGTGTAGCTGAACTGATTATCAGAAAGCACAGAACAAAGCAAAAAATGCCTTGCAATTGTGAAACCCACTTATACATATCACTTAGTTTTAGTACCATTCTTTCCACTCTTTTAACCCACTTTCACCTAAACTCAGTTTAAACTCATGTACCTTTTGCCTCTCTCTGATTTTCTCATATTGCCAGAAATATGGCTGTGTTTTACTTGACATGGTATTTCTTTTCGCCTGGCAACATTCACTTTTGTTAGGCAGACTCAATGCTGTATGTCTTTTTTTCCCCGTGCCTCTCTGTGTGACCAATCTGCTCAGACTATAAAGATTTTTGTGTTCAATTGTTTGATTGATTCTGCACCTGCACAAAGGCTGATCAAAATGGCTGGACTGGACTTTAAATGCTGTTAAAATACCACAACTATTAGTTTTGAACATAACAGCTGGAGAAAAACAGTTTTTAAAAATCTGTGGCAATGCAGAAGTATAAACCATACCTCTTAAAAGGTAATTTTGAAAATCTATTATTTCCAATATGTATGTGTGTATAAGTGTGTGTCTATGTACTTATTTTTTTTTTTTTTTAATCTGGCAGCCCACAGAAACTACAAAATCTGCTTCTCATCCAATCACTGGAGAAATTCAGGTAAAGATGTATTTTGCTGTGTACATTGTTGTTGCTACTGGCTGTGTTTTTCTCTGCAATAAGTTCGCAGAAAACAACATCTATCAACTGATTTCTTATTCAACTCCAATCCTTAAAATGTCGCTAATGTAAGTCAGTGCTTCATTTTTGCATCTGTCTTTAATGTTGTCTTGTGAAATACAACCAAAAGAATGGAAAATGCTGCTGTTCCCAAAGGGGCTAAAAGCATACTGAAATTCATTCTGATCCTTAATCTTTGGCCACTTATTATGATTTCTTCAGAAATTCCCCGTCTGTTTACATTGAGGCAAGAACTATTGAGGGTTTCTTATAGTGCAGTGTATTTATTTCCGTGATATGCCAAGTTTATCCCTTATGTAAATTGACTTTAGCTTTTTTAAACAGTGGAACATAGAACAGCAGAATAACTGAAGCCTTACTTCTTATAGATTTCGGGGGCTTTTCTTCCCCCTTAATTAACCTCTCTCTTCTATATTAGCACTAAAAGTCTTTCCGTACAGTATTATAACATCCTAATCAGGCTTGGGCTCCAAATAGGCAGGATGTGTGTAATTATCACTCAATAAGCTGGCTATTGCTCAGAATAATTTCAAGGGTTCAAATTTCCTTTGTTTTCCTTGGCTGAAATAGATCAAGCTGAATGTTTCTCTTTTTTTTTTTTTTTCTAAAGGTCCAACATGATCATCTAGCATTTCATTCTAGTCAAGAGAGAGAGAGAGAGAGAAACTTCAAAAATGTGTTTATTTCCATATAGAAGTCTAAAATTCATTTTATTCGAAGGGTTTAGGATAGGTGTTGAATAATTTAGGAAGTAAAAGTAACAAATAATCCTACTGTGTTTTAATGTATTCACTAGCTTCAAATCAACTATGACAAGCACCTCGGCAACCTTATCATCCACATCCTTCAGGCGAGAAACCTTGCTCCAAGAGACAACAATGGCTATTCGGACCCCTTTGTTAAAGTTTATCTTCTTCCAGGGAGAGGGTAAGTGTAGAAGATATTTTAACCTGGACCTTCTTTTAATTTAGGGTTTGCTTCTTATTATTAATAAACAGAACTGATAGTTATTGCTGTAGAAAATCAAGGTGCAACACCAGCAAAAATGTTGAGTTTTTTATACAGAGCCAGATCCTATTCCCAGCAGAACTGGGAATACTTTGCTAATGACTTAGGAACTTTATTATCATTCTTATAGATTTACTTTTTTTTCTTCCATGTTTCCTTTTAAAAAAATTATAAAACACGCAAAAATATTTAAAATAACAACAGACTCTATGGAAATGTACTAAATATATGGAGTACTTTTTGTAATAAAGAAAGCCACATGTTACATTTAGCATGGAATGGTTGCCTCAGCTGAAGACAATCTGAATTTAGGATAGATTTTCAAACATGCAGAATTAATGTATATGAGATAAATTTAATGTTGTAGCATACTACTAAAGGTGAGAAATACTGATCAGAAAACATTATCTCCATATGAGTTATATGGCATTTTTTTTGAGCTGATACAGTTTTACAAATACCAGTAATTCTGTATCTAATGACTGTATAAATCACTAATCACTTTTTCACAGACTATTACTTTTTTAGACTCTGTAATTACAAATAGTTCATCAGTGTTTCCTTTAAAAGATAAGTTTCTGTGTCAGCAATATTATAACTATTTTTTTTGCCCTAATGTTGCAGAATGTCATAGGTATATGCAGAATTCATAAGAATCCTGCTGACTTCAGTGACACAATAGATGTATCTAAAATTAAGCTATTGCATCAGATTATAGATTGCAAAGGCAAATTCCTGTAAACTTCCCTGCTTGTGCAATCATACTCATCCTAAAAGACTCTTAGGCTGGGACCATGCAAATAAAAATCTGTATTTCTGTTCTATTCAAAGTAACAGGAAAGTGGATGCTGGGGTCACAGTTCAGCATCTGGCATACAGGCAAAGCACCATTAAATGCATCAGTGGTACAAATAAGGCCATACATTTTCTTTTGTAGCTTATTAATTCTAGCTATACAGCATTCAGTATTGTTCAGTGGCACTGGGCCCAAACTATTACTGAATATAATGGAAACAGGTGCTAAAGCTTGAGAGGTTTTTTAATGCACATAAGAGTCTTGTAAAATGCTTGTCCGATCAATCTTGCTGGGAATTTTACAGGTACATTCACTGATGCAGAAATAAGACTTTGAACTAAAGACCTGTTCACCCTATAAGGGGCCTAAGCCAGATCCAAGTTTAACATGCTGCCAAGTTATGAAGAGTTTGGATTTTAGTTTTGTTTGGGTTCATTATTTTAAAACATGGCACTGGTACAGTTTTGCATGCAACTTGGGCCTTTGGGGAATAATGAAAATAAAGAGCTTCTTAAAAGTGCCAAACTTGAATTGCTACTGAATAACTTTTATCTGGAGTTCAGTCCATTCTAGACTTCTTCCTAATGCCTCTATTTCCTTTGATTCTGATACTAGAAGCTACCATTATTCACATTTTCTTTCATCTCTGTTCTTATTTTCTCTCACTGCTTCCTCTGTGTTCCTAACTCTCTAAATGATGGGTGTGCAGACAAGTCATGGTTGTCCAAAATGCCAGGTAGAGTTTACTATCTTCCAAATTTATTCTTTCATTTTTTGTATGCATGAATGATACTATAAGCCTTTACATTGAAATATAGATTTATCTTGAGTTCTGATGGGATGCAACTGGGCTATGCTTTTGCTTTTCATTTTCTAATGAGGTCATTTCCAGGTCAGGAGGAACTGGAAACAAGTAGTTAATACTCCTTGATGCAGTAATCTTCCAGGGCCAAACTCTGAAGACAAGAAAAATTTCTTCTGAAGTCTGTAAGAACATAGTTCCGAGATATCTCAAACTTCATTCTCTCTCACTGAAAGCTGCAAAACAATTAACTGTAAACTTGATTATCAAGACTTTGAATGATGTTACTGTCAAAAGAGATATAGGCACTATTTGGTAATAAAATGGAATAGTTATTTACCTGCACATAATAAACAGATCTCTATCATCTGTATGTGCCTTTGTTATTAGAATTATTTAATGAATGTGTTAAAACTACACATTTTATATATGTATTTGATTAGACTTTTTAATACACTTATTCTATTATACTTTTTTCACTGTACTTTCAGTTGTATTATATATTAATAATTTCTAATTAAGGAATCAGAGAGAAAACATTAAGAAAAGAGATATGCAGTTTGTATCTTTTCACACAGCATACTCTGTGAATTTCAAGTCCAATTATTTCATACTAGGTATAGACTGGTTTAATGAATGCATTTTATTAAAGTATCTCCATCTGTTAATCACAGTTGTTGGGGAAAAGGTATATCAGTGGCATGAACTTAATGTATTTGCCAGATCCTTCCCTTTAGAGGTCTAGAGACCCTCATCTGTAATCCAGCTTAGGCTGGTTCTGCACCTCCCTAGAAGTGGCCAAGGTCTCCTGCTTCCCTCTTCAACAGATACAGGCCATAGGTTAGGTGCATGTGGGCTCACACCACCCTTACAGTTCAGATCCAAATATTCCATGGACTTCACTGGAAATACTTCAGAGTCACTGTGTTAAAAACACATTTAACTTCTGTGACTTCGAGCTATGAAACTCAACACTGCATGAATCACCTTCTCACATGTTTCTGAAAAGAGTCAGGAACTGTGAGATGAAGTTCTACTATTGAAAAAGGAGATCCAAGAAAGGAAAGGGAATATATTGGTGTCATTTTCTTGGCTGAGTGCACAAAGGGCCCTTTCCTACTTTCTTCAAAAAATGAAAGTATATCAGTTCCTTAAAACCAGTAGATCATAGGACATTTAGACAGGATGCTTTAGGCAGGGGACACTTTTGTCATATCAAAGAGTGGGACAAGAAGACTACTGAGATGCTTTAAAAAAATTAGCTGCATTACTGAACAGTGTTTGCCATCAAAATCTAGTTTTGAAAAGGATTCAGGTTTTGAATTTCAACTGTCCTTCCGAGATATGCAAGGAAAATTTGTGTGAGTTTCTTTTCTATATGCTCTTGGTCTCCCTAGATTTTAATTCATGCTTACCATCCTATGATGTGTCTGATAGAGCTCACTGACCTCTGGAGAGCTTCTGCTTTCTTCCTATAAGCAGAGGTGAACATACAGTTTCTTTCACAGCTCCCACTAGCCTTCACATTTTTCAATAAACTGGAAGTCAGTGGATAGCAAGATTTGCAAGAAAGTAAATGGAAATGGCTAGAATGACTAGAGCAAAAAGTAAGTGGAAAAATAGCTGCAAATCTCTTTCATTAAAGATATCAGGCTAGTAGTCACGTTGGATACAACCATATGGAGAAAATGTGGCCACTTATGGAGAAAAAGGCCACTAGACACTCCAGAATAATCAGATGGGATCACTGCACAGTAGAATTGAGTTTATAAAGTGAAACTGCTGGTGCAGAAGTACCAACATTGACATACATGTGCCAGTAAAACACATGCATCTTTCACACAACCTTAAATCAAACCTGCTCCAGTCTGGTATTGTGCGTGGTACACCATTAGTGACTGTGATTAAATGAGTCCCTGGAATGCGTCTTCTCAGTTAATCTCATGTGAAAGGAATTAGTTCATTAGTTCTGGGACCATGCCACAGTGTGAATGAAAAGAATTAGATCAGAAGTGAGAATCAGGGGAACAGTACACTACCAAAAATTAATGTAGAGGAACCACAAAAGAGTTTAATACAAGTAATTCTCTCTCAGTGCTGGGAAATGGTCCTGGGAACATTTAGTTTAATAAAAGATATAACAGGTATATATTTGCAGGTGGACAGAAAGAGTTAACCTTCTATCTTGTGGGGTTTTCAAAGTATTAAAAGCTTCTCATGTTCTTCTGCCCAGCTTTTTTGATATGTCCATTAAAATGTATATTAAATTAAAATTGAAATGAATGTAATTCTGACATCAAAGTTCACAGAGCTAGATGAATCCATACTCTGTTAAAGATTAGTATACTGCTTTCTCCATACTCAGGAAATGCGAAGTACAATCAAAAGCATTACTGATTCTTTTTAAAAACAGATTATGCAGCCAAACCTTTTGTTCTTGGCTATTGATTAAAAAAAAAAATATCATGAGCTTGATGCACTTTTATATTTCTTTCCAGTACAGTTAGAGGGATAGGCAGAGAATAGGATCAATAAGAGATTAGTGTTTCTATCATTACAGGATATTAGTTACCTTATGGCATTCATTAAATGTTTTTGTGAGATGGGATTCCTGTAATTAGAGATAGCAGCCTATAAATATAATGAACCTGTGCTACTTTAAAGTGCTAATGGGAGAATGGTCTTGGAAAAGAAATCAATGCATTATCACCTCAATTTAGAATCAGAGCCCAACACTTACAATGAGAGGACAAAGCATATATGCATGTGCTCGCTGGTGCTTTATCTTGAAATGGTTTTACGTAGAGAGAGCCTGCTGAAGACTCAGAAGAAGATGTTTTAAAAGACCATGTCAGAAAAGCATACTGAAGGAAAAAAAAATCCCAAAGGCTGTCACTGTCCTCTTGTAACCCTGAATTGATGCAGAAATGGAAGATGCAGTTCCTTTCTTTTTCTAGTTTTTGGTTTGTGGGTGGGTTTGCTGCATTAGAGCTGAAAGAAGCAAATGATCACTAATGTAATGTTTTCTCCTTTTGTTCAAATTCAGTGCTGAGTACAAGCGGAGAACTAAGTACGTTCAGAAGAGCCTGAATCCTGAGTGGAATCAGACAGTCATTTATAAAAATATTTCCACAGAGCAGGTGCGTGACTGGTGGTGCTGTTTGGTGTCATTTGCTGCTTTACTATTTGTGTGGTCTGCAGTGCTCATTGTGTGGGGAGGAGTACTACTGGCAATTCTGTGAACCCCTGTAAAATCTTGCTGGATTTAGGAGAAATTTGGAACTCATCCCTTGCCTCTGATAGAGCTTACTATATCAATACTCTTTTCTTGCCCTTCTACTCATAAAAATGGTAATTGGTGGGGATTACACTCATAATCATGTCATAAGTACAGATGTGACAGTTTAAAAAATGATAATGGAATAAATTAATGAGGGAATAAATTAAGACATAAGTTTCTGAAGTAGATGCAGAAATCACTGTCACTGCGTTCCAAAAGCCATGCAAGCTCACACAAAGCACAGGTTCCACAATTTTTTTTATTAAAAAACATTTATAAAATGTAAAGATACAATTTTAGATTTATTAACAATTTACATTAGTGTCTTGAAATATGAATCACCTGAAAAAAATAAAACATATTTAATTTCCTTGCTATAGAAAGATTTAACTCACATCTGAGAAAGACGACTGTGCAGTCTTATCTGTTTCTTCATGGCTTCCTAATTCCAACAGACCTACAGGGTTAACTGAGGCAGAATAAAGCAACTGAGACCTCTTTTTCTCCATCTCCCCTTGTAAAAGGGCTTTTGACCATTTGAAAAAGATATATGAGCAAAATTATTATCAGTTCATTTGCTTAAGTTATGAATTGTATTTTATAAAATACTGGATCTCTAGGAAGTCCTGAATCTTTTTGCCTTTCTTGCTGTTTCGTTCTTGATACTTCCAGCTTCACTTTTCAAGACCACTTAATCTTTCAGCACTTTTTTACAAAAGCCCAGAAAAACCAGACTCTTCAGTGAATAGAGTTCGCAATCCTTTTAATATATTTCTCCATCATGACCCCAAGAACTCAATATTATCTTCCAAACTAAAAATTTTGTTATTCTTTCTTCTTGTTTGTTGAGAGTAATGTTGATTAAGATACCCATTTTTTGCAAGGAGCAAAGCCCTGCCCACAAAGGGACATGCATGGTTGCTCATGCAATTTATACATGTGAACTCAACAGGCAGTAGCTCAAATTTACTTCAGACATGTCCTGCTGTAGGTGGTTATGGTTTGATGGGGCTTCTCACTGCTTCGTGCAGGCTTTTATAAATGGTAGCTCAATGACAGTAAAAACATCAGAAAAAAAAAACCAACTGTGATGTTTGCTGAGCTGCAGTATAAACCTTGAGTCTTCTGGATTTTGTGAAAGGATTTAGTAAGTCTTAACAATATTTCCAAACTGAGCTTTCCATTTAAGAAAGGTTCTTCAGTTTTCTTAATTTGCTTTGAGGTTCTGCTGGTGACATTTCACAGAGCTGTCATTAAGAGTAGATAGGTGTGGTACGTTCAGTGGCTATTTCATGCTTTGAAATTGGATAGTGGTAGTAATCTAGGATTTCTTGGACACTGATTATAACAACAAAAAAATCTACTTATATCTTTAATGTTAGGTTTTTGACAATTATTTGATGACATGTCCCTTTCTTTGCATGTTGAATTCTGAACTTTTGCTTCCAATAGCAAATCTCCTCCTTTTCCCTTCCTCTAAGACTAATATTCAGAGCTTATGGTTGTGTGTAAACTTCCTCTGAGAACCACATATGTTCTATATTTTGGCTTCTTGATGCACAGAAGTGAATGCAGAAAATAGTGTTTCCTTCCAGACCTTTCCATGGCTTGTATCTACTGCTAAGATACTTGTGTGTGTGATTCTTCTCCTACAAAATTCCATGCCCTGGCTTAGAAAATATACAATAAAGCACATTTCTAAATCAGCAAATATTCCAGGATGATGATAAGTACCCCCTACAGTCTGAATATCTATCACCATGCAATAGAGCATAATTTGTACTCATAAAACTCACAAATGGATATTTCAAAATAGTTGGGAATATAAAGAGAAGTACAGGACAATAATTGTGTTCGTCTGAGAATGAGCATTCTGTTCACCAAACAAGCAAAACTGCATCATACACTAAGCCACTTAGAGTTAGCAGTCATATTCTAACATAAATTCATGAATCTTTATAAATAGTATTTCTTCAAAGAAACATTTCCTTTCCCTACATGGGTTACTTGCTGACAGCAAATAAACATTATTAAATATTTCCTAATATAGTCCTTTTAACGTCACTGTCTAGACTTTAGCTGGTTGTACAATTTTTCATTTTCCTTTTCTCTTTCATAATCTGGCTGAAATTAAACTGAAAATAATTATGAGAAATAGATCACTTTGAAATGAAACAGACTTTTTCAAGGTCAGAATGATTAGTTTTGTCATGTAGCAAATTCTACTTTGACGGTTGGAGAAAAATAAATTAAACTGAATATTTAGTAATTTAAGGTTTTTGTTAAGTAATAAAGTAAAAATAATTACAATTTGAGAGGAAGGCCAAGTACACATGTCATAAAACTTGTATAATAATTGGTAACTCAGAGCATGAAAGAAAGCATTAAAAGAATTTAAGGAGAAGATGATAGAAGATATAAGTTCTGTTGCTGCTTGGTCCATTGGTATAACTTGTCAGAAAGAAAATAAAAATATTTCCTTAAATTATATAATTCAATAAAGCAAATAGTTTTTGCTGTAGTTTCTGTTCTCAATTAAGGTAATATATTTAGAAAGTAATTTTTTTTTCAAAATCGTTGAGTGATGTAGGAGCCTATGTCTTATTTATGAAAGTAAGAAAATCTTATGAATCAGTAAGGTGCTGGTACTTAAATTCTACTTAATATCTTGGACAAGAGAAAGTAAGTTTCTAAGTGACCTATCAAAAATTTTTTTATCCTTCCACACACTGAAGTACAACAATATAGAGAAGAGAATGTTAAATATGAATGTAAACAAAAATAGATATAATTGATGATCTAATGCAACACATTCATTTCTTCTTATCAAATATTCTGAGATTGCAATAGTTTATACTAATTGTAGTAATTTACTTTCAGCATAGAAGAAAAACAAGCTGCATTAAAATTATTTCTTTCCTCATGCAATCCTTGCATGAAATTTTCAAGGGATATGTGTTAAATATTTCAAGTAGTGAGTCCTTGTATTAAATCTTCAAGAAATATGTGTTAAATATTTCAAGTAATGCATGTTTAGCTACACGGGCACACATTAGCTATAGCAACACCCAGTTATCCCCACGTATTTAAAATAAAAACCTAACACTTCTGTACCTGTGGTGTTGGTTATGTCTTCCATAAGAGACAATACTTTTCACATTGGCTGGTTCTGCATATTCCTTCATTTTCTTTAAATTATGGTTGTGCACAAAAACCTGAAGATAACTGAAGTTCACATGCAATATTATGCTTTTAAGTAGGACTTTAATTTTTACTTATTTATAATTTTTTTCCACGAGACAAAGCCTGAAATCAGTTACCATTTGGTAACACTTTTTTTTGTAACATTCTTAGAACTCAGATGAGGTCCACAACTTGTGTAAACAGCTTTCCTTCTTTTTGGGGCACTTTCCCATTTTCCTGTTGGTACCTTGCCCACTTGCAGAAAGCCACGGTCAGATGGACAGGAGGTTTCTGCAACCCATTTCAGTATTGCTGTCTGTTATATTCCTAATGAGAGTTTGAACTTCTGGCTTCACAACCTAGAACTGGATGATGTAAGGCAGAACCCTACTTTGGTGTGACGGTATAAAAGCTGCTTTTAAAATCAGCAGCCATTGAGTGTTCTTTGCCTTCAGTGGTGGTACACAAATATATCTACAGAAAAGCAAATTCTACTCCTCTTTGAAACTCGTTTCTTGCACTCTGCCTAATAAAGCTCTTTCCATGTTTTTTCATTGTCATAATATTTTATAAAAGCTTTATTAAACTAAGAGGCTTAAAATAGATTTCTCAAAGAAATACTGAAAGTTTTCATCGCGGTTTTATTATCACACTAATGCAAACAGGCTAGCAAAGTAGGGTTGCAGTTACTAGGAAATCTTCTCTGCTTTCCTCTTCTTACCAAAAATCCTTCAAACCTTAGGGCTGTGTTGTTTTTTTTTTCCCTTTCCTAGATCTATACATTCCTCTCTCTGTCCTTGCACAGTCACGAAAAAGACAATATGTCCTCTCAAAACAGCAATAGCTGAGACAATACATTTCTGAAAAGTATTTCTGTTATCCCTTTTTTAAAGGGTAAAAATATATATACTTAGGATAGTACCTAACAGAAAACTGTATTGTCCAGGAAACCAAAAGCATCATGGACCAGTGGCTGCTCAGCTCATTTTTTCGTGTTATCTTTCATGTTGCAGTTTCAAGACTGCCTTGGAACAGCAAAGAAAAGGAATTTTATTCAGTCAAGGAAATCACCTTTACAAATATTCAGCAAGGAATGTACAAAAAAGAGTCTTTTTTCTCAACTTTTTCTTTCATTTTTGGAGGATATTTTTAAAAGAATTCTTAAGATGAATATTGCCTAATTATGTGAGAAAAAAACAGAGAAAAATCACGGAATTACTCTCAAATATTTTTTTTTAAATCTTAGCTTTCAAGTCATATTGTTGCCTGCCTAAAGAGTACATTGTTGATGCTAAAAGTAGTACAATTCCCTTTTGTTTGGGTTTTCCAGGGTATGCTGATTTAAATTTGTCTTTCTAAGACATTGTCTTTGCATGGTTGCTCATTTTTCTAAAGTTAGCTGGGAGAAGAAGATATTCTGAATACATAATAATGAGATGAAATTGTCATTTAAAGGTAATTTCAAGTTATTAGGAGCTGTTTGAATCTGTACTGCATTAAACCAAAATGCAGTGGAGATAAATGACTAGAACATGCTTCTAATAACACCATTGTTGTGGGTTTGATGCCCCATACAGACCATTCACTTATGAGTTGGACTCGATGATCCCTGTAGGTCCATTCCAACTCAGAATATCCTGTGATTCTATAAATAGCACACAGTGCTTTTTTTGCACGTATATGTAATACGTACAGTAACTGGTATGTCTTATAACTTTGAGCAATAACTTGAGCCTTTGTTGTCCCTTTGTGCCCAGCAGCCAATTGATAGTCAAATGAGTGAGTTTTTTCTGTTGTTTCTGTTAGGATGATGGCCTCAACTATCACATAAGATTTCTTCTTCTGACCTCTTTTATTCAAGCTTGAGTCCTGTTTTGCTTAATAATGCTTGAATTCGTCACTTATAACTGCTCTGCCTGACTTTGCAGATACCCCATACCTTCAGGATTTTGTCTCTCTTTCAAGCACCAGGAATTTATTACTGCCTCTTCAGCCTTTTGCCCAAGCATTCAACATCAGTAATCAATCCTCTCCTTTTATGTCCCTAAAGACCCCTGGAAAAACACTCAGAATAGTCTTTCCAATAAGGTCATCTGCTTTGGTCAACAGTTTCTGTCTTTTGCTCTCTTGTCACATAAAAATACTTACTTGTTTCTTACTGTAACATATAGAAGAATGCTTGGTATAGCTGTCATGCCTAACAAGATCTGCAGGTAAAGGGTTTTGATAGCTGTCATTAATACCTTACAACTTGTCCTGCATGCCTGGATCACTTGCAGGCTCTCAGTGACTACACTGAATTCTGTGAGCTTTAAAGCCTGGTCTTCACAGATGAGATTATGTAAATGGGGTGTTTTAAATAATACATTTGTTATTCACTCTCCAAGGCACTTCAGGCAAATGCCTGAGTTCAGAGAACTCAGATCTGATGATGAGAAAAGCTGCAGAAACACAAAAATGGGGCTTTAAAAATCAGTTTGAGTTTTGTAGTGGACACGCATTCTGACCAAAACAGCTTGTGGAAATTCCTGAAATAGGGCCAAGCACAAACCCATCTGTCTTGATAACAAATAATAGGCCCAAATTATTTTTCTAAGAACAAGGTTGATGAGAGGGCAAAAACTGCCTAGCTGTCACTATGAAAAAGGACTCAAGGAGAAAATTATGTATAGAAACCACTGTAAAGCCTTGATCTGAAGTTTTTGATGGCAATGAGGTTAATTATACTTTGACTTAAATTGCAGCTGAAAAAGAAAACACTGGAAGTGACTGTCTGGGATTATGATAGATTCTCCTCAAACGACTTCCTTGGTGAAGTGAGTATCTTATCTCTTCCTTGCTACTGGTAATAACTGCAGGCTGTTATTTGGAGACTGTTCTCTTCCAATGTATGGTACAGATATTAAGTAAAACCTTTTCTTACACCGCAGTTTTACTGCTGACTTCATAACAATCTGTTGTGATTTCTTTTACCACACATGAAACACATATTCCCTTTATCTCATTTTATTGAGGACGAGTTAATTAACACAGTGTTAATTCCCTGAAAATTAAGACTTTTTTTTGAGCCTGAGATAGTAGCAATCTTCACAGTGCTCAATGAGGAGTTCTTGTTATGACTGAAAGCTGTCTGCCTCGATTTTATCATAATGTGGGAAGGCTGAGGAGGTATTAGTCTTTGAAAATGATTAAAGGATTAAATTCTGCCATCAAGTCACATTTTAACAAATGCACAAGTATCTGCAAGAGTAAGTAACTTATTCTTGCTGCTCACAACCTCATTTTTAACATTCTGAAATAGTAATATCATTACCAAAGTATGACTGAAGGCAAAATCTGGTAATTAAATAATAAATGAGATGAGTGATCATGGGAAGAAGTATGCTCTCTCTTTAAAAATAAATAAACAAACACATATATATGCACATATAGAAAAATTACCAGAAATAACTGTGATGTAAAAAAATTAATTAAAATGTTATTACAAATAAGGATTATAATTAGGAATAGAATCACAGGAAAATTGATTGTTCATATAGTGTTACTCAGAGTATCTGTGCTCATTCTGCATTTGAATTTAAAAAAAAAAAGTCAATTCAGCTCCAGTTCCCCTTTGTGTAACTACCAAACTTAGCAATCAGTGTCACTATTTGAACAATTACTAAAATAAATGTGAAGGAAGTTGCTACATGATTACTTATTTCCTGCATACTATGTCCATATTCTTGTTGAGTTCAGCATATTTGTCTAAATGCAGGGCTTTACTGAATATTTACATCATTGTTATTTATGACATTTGGAAAAGGGATGCTCCAACAACTGATTCTACAGAAAGATTTAAACCTTTTTCCCCAAAATTTTTCAACCTCTAGAACTATTTTATTTATTAATTATGAAAGAAGTTCTTCAGGGAAAAAAGGTACAGAAAAGACTATCCAATGTATTTCAGCCCCAGGATGTCCAGAGGAATCCTGCACCATAACATCAGTTATGGGATATCCAAGTTGTGCCCTAAAGACTTGCTTGAGTTGGACCAGGTCCTTGGGACTTGCACGCCCCAGAAGAAAAGTGGCACACTGTGGCCAACATCCATGGAATGTGAAGCCTCTTCTCTTACAAAACAGAGCCCCCAGCTTACACTGCCTATTGGGAGCAATTCTCAACCATGCTGTCTTCTAAGTCATTCCCAAAGCTATGACCAAAAAAAAAAAAAAAAAACACAACAGGGAACATGCTAAATAGTTAATCTGTTTGGATTAATTATAGGTCTAATCAGAAAGACCAAGCCAGATCATAGACAACCTATGAAGCTGAAAGTAAAAAGGGAAGAAACAAGGCTTTTGACCTAGAAAGAATCAGTTGTGAAGAGATTTCCCCATATCAGGGTCATGTAATAAAGTAATGTAATTGTACACTTTACTTGTCTTTTTTTTTTTTTCTTTTTTAATTTCAAAGAACCCCTGCTAGCAATGCAGGTTGCCTAGAGCAAATTTCAGCTACAATGGTTGTGGTTTTTTAGCCAGGTTACTTGTTTCATTTCCATATTACCATTGCAACTCCTTTCGTTTTTTTTGCACCGTGAAGTTTTGAGACCTAAATGGTCTATTGAATTCCATTATTTTTAGTGAAATGCAAAGATCTCCCTATTTTTTCTTTTTATTACTAATTCTGTATATGTGGCTATTTTCGAGACTCAAGAGGTTCAAGTCTCATAATATTGAAGACCTTATTAAAAACAAATATAGAACTATTTGCTCCTTTACTAACACTGATAAAAGATTGATTGATTCTTCTATTAGAATATGTCTATACAGAGGCAGAGTGACTGGATGTCTTTTTAGTCTAGCTGTCAATCTAGTGCTTACAAGCTATGCTTTAAACTGTCTGACCATCTTGGTAGGAGCTGTCGTAGTCCAAGGACTGAGCTCACAACCCTTCCTGAGGTCCTGTTGTGAAGATATATTAGTTCAGATGCATCTATATACTACCAAATGTGGGTTTGGGGTCTCAGGTGGCTTATATAAGAAGCATGCCCAGGAGTCCTGAACCTGTAAGCATATAGCCTTACATCCTTAGCTCTTGCATTTGGTTGCAACTTCTGGTAACATAACTTGAGTCTCTTCTGCCATGTGCAATCATCAATAGATCAGTTACAGGCCATATATTATACTTTGATTTATTTGTAGGTGTTGATCGAGTTATCCAGTGTTTCTCAGCTTGACAACACTCCCCGGTGGTATCCTCTTAAAGAACAGAGTGAAAACATTGATCATGGGAAATCTCATTCTGGACAGAGTAGCCAGCAATCTCCAAAACCATCTGTCATCAAGAGCAGAAGTCACGGAATCTTCCCGGACCCCTCCAAGGGTAGGAATGACTTGGTGCACCTGATATGAAATATTTTCCCAGATGATGGGAAAACCTTTGCTATGTGTAAGTTCTAATAGAAAAATAAAGATAATGCTATGAAATTTGTATATATTTTTATTAAAAATGCATTTATCTCTGTGATTAATTAATTGGGGATAAGGTTTAATTTGTCTCTATCTCTACCAGCCAGCTTACTGAGTAACTGTGTTCTTAGAACAGCAGCTTACAGACTCTATGTACTTTGCATATATACTGTAGATTCTGTTCCCTTTTCATTTTTCTGGTAGCCTTGGCCAAATTCAATACATATTTAGCTTTCTATTTTTCATGTTCCTTAAAAATTCTATGGTGTTTTATTGTCCTAAAATGCTATGTTAATATTTTATAGAACAAAAATTATGCTGTAATAATGCATATGCATTTCCAGTCAATGATAATGGGCTGTAGCACATCTCAATTGTGTTAGAAATCAGTGGACTTGATACAGTAGAAATATACTAGTGCTTTAAAAAGCAGAATTGATCTCAGTGTCTTCTGCTCCGAGAAATTAATCTTTAATGTTTTTTTTTATGCTAAGTGGTCAGTAGACAGTTGGTCTCTTGAAACACATTATATGTCATATCAAAGCAAAAGCATTCCAAATAGAATCCAGATGAGACCCTCAGAGTGACAAGACTCTATTCCATCTCCTTTCTGTGCTCTGTTCTGCTAGGCATTAGTGGCTATATAAGATCCATGTCTAAATTAGAGGTAAGTATAGAATCTTTTGTAAGTTAGGCTGGGATTTTGACCAGGGCATAATTCAGAATAAAATGGCTTGCATTTCCTGAGCATTTGTTACTGGTGTAGGTTATGCTAGTTAATCCCTATATACTAGAGAATTAGAAAGTGGAAAGCACTACCCCCTCATTTAACCAGTGTGAACCAAAACAGGAGGCCTAATCTACAGGTGATAGAAAGCCAATACTAAATAAATTATTCCCTGGGCTAGGTAACAGTGGGGGAGTAGACAATGATGCCTCGTAGGAGTTTCCTAATCACAATATATCCTGATACTTTAAATGGAATGGCACAGCCTAATCTGTATTCCTTTTTCTGGAATTCAGCTAGAAAGACCAGTCGAGAGAAGAAAAATCAAATGGTTTGTTTTTAATAAATGCAAGAATTGTGCTTCTTCATTTTCCTGGTAGACATGCAGGTGCCCACCATTGAGAAATCCCACAGCAGCCCAGGGAGCTCCAAATCCTCCTCTGAAGGACATCTCCGCTCTCACGGTCCATCCCGCAGCCAAAGCAAAACCAGCGTCACTCAAACTCACCTCGAAGACGCTGGGGCAGCCATCGCTGCTGCCGAAGCAGCTGTCCAGCAGCTCCGCCTTCAACCAAGTAAAAGACGCAAATAAATTCCTCAGCATGGCAGCTTAATGTTCATCTGTTGCCTTTTTCCCTGCTGTCCTTCTCTTTTTGGCTATTTTTTTTTTTTTACTTTTTCTGTTCTTGGCACACTGTGCTCACTCTGTTCAATGTCTTTCTTCGTGTGCCTGTGTGTGGATACATATAATTACAATATACTCTTGTATTTAGAAGTCTTTTATTTATTTATTTATTTTAATTTATATAGACTGCAGTGAAACTGGCTGTTTCTCCATCAGTCCCTTCACTCATGGTCCATGATGTTCCATGGTTGTTCACGACTCACAGAGAAGTCCATTGTGTTTTGATGTCACTAAATAACTACCAATGAAATAATCAAAACCTGCAGAGATGCGGCTGCCAGCTCTTTAAATTGCACACAAGTACTGAGACCACATTAATAACAGGATTTATCTGTAAGTAGTAATCAGGAAAGACAATACTATATACACAAAAAAAGATCTGAAGTTAAAGAGAATTTTTTTTCTAACTACATGGTTGAGATTTCTATTTTTGAAACATGACTGTAAATATTTTATTTTTTTTTGAAAGGAAATATAAGGCAACCTTCTTAATATCTCAGAGAAGATCATGTTAGTGATGAGCAGAAAAGAAACAGAACAGAAACATTAAACACATTAAATGCAAAACCATTAAACACACAAAGCATTTAACACCAGATTTCAAAAATGTTGTCAACTTAGGAAAGTCAAAGGGAGTTGGGAGCTAAGTCAGGTGTCACAGTTCAATTTTTCTAATGATTTTTGTGCCATGAATTGATTAAGGGTCAATATAGATTTCATCTGACAACTTCAAATTGATTAATAAATTTAAAATATTCCATTCAAAAGAATTACTCTCCAGAGTATACTTCAGACCAGTATCTGACTGCTAGTTGAGGGTTTAGTTGATGGCAAATTAAATCTCTCTGACTGCGGAGTCATTGTGTTTGTCTTCAGGATTTGTTGATATGCCATAAATTTACCATGGTATGATGCAAAACTGGGGGGAAAATTATTTCCCTTGTCTTCACCATCATTAATAAAGAAACAGCCAGTTTTAATATTTTTAATGCTGTGCATGTGGTGTCTCTTTGGTGTTTGAAAACACTACTTACTTAAATACAGAAAAAACACTTCTGTTTGCATGAATAACATTTAAGCTGGTTCCATCTGAGGATACATACTCTGGGTTTCCATTTCACCCACACTGCCACAGCAGCACATAAAAGCGGTCAGTCTAATCATGCCAGGAAGCAGCACAGACACAGCATAGCAGGAGTCCTCCCTATTCAAAGAACTCAGTCTGACAATCTGCCTCCACCAGCCAATGACAACAAAGACCAAAGCCAACTAGCCCTCAGGAAAGTGATGTCTGATGGACCACTCAAGCCTGAAGGAGGTGAGCAGAAAGACATGGTTAAGAAACCAACTACATCCCAAATCCTTCTTGCCATGTCAACTAATTCATTGCGATATTTAAATATTTATTTTACCCCTCCATTAAGTGCTGTAAATGTTAACGTGAATCAAGAACTCTGCTTGATTTTTCCACCTACCAGCGCATAAATCCATAACAAAAAACTGTGCTAAGAAGCATTATGAAACAACAAATGTGTGCACTTCCATTCCACTGGAGAACTTAGACTTCTGTTGAAAAATAGTATAGCTTTGCTCATGTTGCTGCCTAATAAAAAGCATGCATCCAAGTTGGTCTGCTTAAGCATGATTGGACATTTCTTGTACTGTGACAAAAACCTAATTGCACATTTTTGTTTCTGCAATTGTAATTGGGACGTTGACAATTTCCTTTTCCTCTTCCAACATAGTTATTATGTCAACAGTCATTAGCATAGATAATTTTCAAACCACCAGTGGAAAGGAAAGGAGTTTTGATCCATGTATAGCTCAATCTCTTGATAGTTTTCCTATCAGCACCTTTAAAATTATTTTCTACCTGAAGGCACCTGTAATACCACCTATCAGTAATTTATCCCCTCATCTCAAATAAAGAGCCAGAATCTCAAACAGCTCAAATTGCCACTGTTCTTTTGATTTCTGGAGCACTTTGTTTATTTACATGGAATCTGAGGGATAATCCAAATAAATGTACTGACTGGACTCCCAGATGTTCTCTTGTGTTGTAATGCCTTCCTAAGCTCTCAAGATTCATTCAAGGTTTTTCTGTCAACACCATTGCACACTGTGAACAATACAAGCTGGCTGAGAAGGTTGTGGGAGAGAAAGAGGAAATGATGCTTCCAACTATATACCCTGAAAGCAACAAGTCGTTACCTAACATTTTAGAAGCATTATGAGAATAAGAGTCCACATTAACATAATTAATATATAAGGGAGGTTAGAATTACTATGAAGAGATGTGGTACCTTTCACTTTTTATTTGTAACATATATACACAATGTGTGGTCAGCTACACAATGTTTGTAAGTCTTGTTTCAAACCTGTGAGAAGTTTTGACTTCTTTTTAATGTATCAAAACCGGTTTGTCCAAATTTATTCATGTGAGATGGGCCAGCAGTTACCATTTTGAGTTAATGACTCCCAGGAGTTTCAGCAGGAATGAAAAGCAAGATGATTTCACTACAGTATTGTGGAGTATGAAAGTAAAATGAAATAAGTCTATGACCTTGAATGGAAGAAGCATCAGAGATACTCAAACCAGCTTCCAGTTTATGGAGTTCTTTGTGGGAGGAAGATATGATGAAGGAAGGAGAGGTTTCCACTGCATTTTAAAAATTCTAAAAGTTGAGACTATTGTGCACAATGAATATTAGGGCATCATCACTTTGCAAATCCATGCCTAAAGGAATGATGCATGGCTGTGGTACCACCCCCATTACGGTCTACTGGCACCTGGAAAAGAATCCATTAGGAACTGGTTTTATTTACTGGAACAGTCATCTCAGCAAGTCAGTAATTTTTGTCACTCTGTCTCAAAGCCCTTTACTAACAAAGCCATTACAGATAATCCACAAAATTGTTTGGTTTGGTTTTGTTTTTTTTTTTTTTACCACAGCTATTTTACTATACATTTATCAAAGAACAGCATCTTTTAGAACAACCGTTTGTGTTTTTACAGCCCAAGTACACGAGGGTGATGGAAATGATTCTATGCTGTGAGTGGTTATCAGTCTTTCTCTACCTAAAAGAACACCCAGAGAGTTTCCTCCTTTTACTTGGTCTCTCAATAGCTTCCTTTTTTTCTCTTGAATTGAATTGGCTCCTGAAAATAAGCAAGCAAACAAACAAAACAAAACAAGAACCCTCAGTCATTCCCAGAATGTCTTGGAGAAATCTTTCTCTACTTCTGACTCCTAGGACGTTTTCTGTTGGATGTATTTTGTCAGTTATTAATTGTGTGTCTGCTGAAAAGTAAAAAGGAAATCATAAACAAAACCAGCACCTATGGTATACTTAGCATGTTTTGTGAATGCAAAGGACTTGCATCAGTTTAAGTGTATTGAACTGAACTGTGTCTGTATTCATTTTAAACAGTAAAAAAATGTATTCTAATCAATCTGTTTTGAAATTAGGGGAAGATGCAAAAAAAATTGGGTTTTGTTCAGAACCATTGTAAAATCCCATCTTCAACTAGAGCATTCAATTAAAAATAAATCCTGAAGTATAATTTTCTTGTTGCCTGTGGGAGATAAGAGTGTGATCTGCAGAGAAACCAATTGCATATTACACATTCCCATCATATTCCTCAGAGAGGAAAAAAAATATTTCAGAGCCAACTCTTTGAAGCCAGAAGTTGCAAGGGACCCAAGTCAGAGGAAGAGAACAGTGCCTAGGTTTGAGTTAATTTGATTTCAGTTTCGTGCAAAATATGAATCGTTGCCAATTACATATTCACATAAAATTAAGCACATTCCTTTCATAATAAATCTATGTATTAGAGTTTATCCACCACATGAGTCGGTTTTAGCGGTAGAGTAAATCAGTCCAACTATACAGTTTTATAAGGAGCTGTGGGACCTATATGGATGTAGCTTAAAGGGTAAAATTTGATGGTCTTGTCCTTATTTGAAGAGGAAAAGGTGCCAGTTTTGCCCCAAAAGGAACACTGGTTTTGTGAGGAAAAATTAATCCTTTATTACGTTAGAATAACCAATGGTCAATGAAACCAACATTATTTTATGACCAAAGAAGAGAATTTCTAGAAACTTATTTTAATTCTTCCTAGGATCTTTGGAAAAGAGTAAATAAATATTTAAATAGTAAATAGCTCAGTAAGGGAATTCAAAGTCTGAACATCATTGTAGCCCTATGCATTTTTCTATCCTTTCAAACAGGCACCATGAAAGAGAAGCTACAAGTCAATATACTGTTGCTTGAATATCATATGGTGATGGATGCCCTATGCACTCCTTCTTTATTTGCCTCACCTTAACCCAACCAAACAAGCAAGCAATGTGCCAAGAGAAAAACACTGCTATACTCTTGATCTGAATTAGGTAGCAAATGTTAAAGATCTAGAGAAATTGCCATGTGTTTCAGTTAAAGATACAAACATACATATTATAAATTGCCATTTAAGGTAATGGGAACATAGTAATCCTACAGCAATTTCTGTCTGTTTTTCAATAATAGTTTCTTAAAACTTCTTCTAACCCAAATATCCAGTAATATTTATTTATATCCCTGAGAATGGGGGATGGGAGGAGGAGAAAGGGAGGAGCACAGCACCACACCGTCTCATAGAGAATATCTCATCTTTTACATTACACATCTTCAATCACGACACAATAGCTTTGCTGTTGTGTCTAAGAGGAAACTATTTCCAAACAGCTGTATGTCAAGTGGTTTCACTGATAAGGGGGAGATCTACTCTCAGAGTTGATACTGTTAGACCGATTATCTACATTAGCCAAACTGTGCATCAGCATTTTCAGAATTGTACCTAATTGAACATATAAATTTAAACATCTCAGAGAATGCTGGCTTAAAACTCTTTCGGTCCAAGGTACCACACCTGCTCATGACTGCCTTGGACCAACAACTTTGACAAAAGTTCACTTAAGTGTCAGCGTGTCAGGTTAAAGTACACAGAAAAGTGATGTGATGTATGCATCAAGATATTGCTAGCACTGTAGAACCCATGATACAGGTCTGAGTTAGCACTGTGTAATTTCTAGACACTTAGTTGAAAGAAAGTAAAATTGACCTGAATTTTCCTTATCACTAAGTTCTATTTACTGGCTTTAGCAACAATGGAGTGAAAGGAAATTGATTCCTAGGTACTATAAATCTTTTGAATTGGATATTATTGTGGTTTAAAATACCTGCATATTTGGGGTCCTTTTTGATCTATATCCATTGTCACACATTTAATAGGCAATGCTATGTTTTAATTTCCAACATTATTTTAGGATATTTCCTTCACACTTAAATAATTTACTGCCCAAAGCTGTTTAATGACTAGTGTCACTAATCTCTTAATTACAAAGTTAAATAGGTCTTCATATTGCTACAAATAACCCATTTCCAAAAATCTTTGTCAAAACAAGAACAGTTTGTCCCCACTCTCTGCAGAGAGCAATAATCTGAGGCTGTCTTTTGAACCTTTTTTCAGTCTAATAGCTGGCCCATTTTGCTTTGACTGTTCCTGTTGTTTACATGTCAGCTTAAAATGGTGGAAGAGTAATTTCTAAAATTGCTCAGATTCTTCATTTTATAACTCTTATTTCAAAAGTCTATTTAATGGCAGAATAACCTTACAGAGTGCATGGAGAATTATTTCATCAGAATTGCTTTGCTGAGTAGAGAAATTACTTCACCACAGTTTAAGAAGAGTGCTGTTCTTCTGCTACTCAGCTCAAATGGTAAATTTCTCTGTAAAGGGTTGTGTTGAAATTTCACAAAATATCTCTGCTCAGTGTGTGGTTAAAGCCATGTCTAATATACAGATGTGGCTGAAATGGATGAGTCCATGGCTTAAAGTCCTGTTCAGTGTGAGGGAGCATTAGGAAAAGAAACTATCTGAACTGACCTGAGGTGTATGTGTTCGATCACTTGTTGTTTATGCATCCACATTCTGTTGCCAGTTCACAACAGATGCAACAAGCAACAGAACCTTACAGAGCAATCTGGAGAGCCCCTGCTTTTAGTGCTAGAAAACCCTTCATAAAAAACAGGTTAAGTGGCATTCAGGGCAGTTTGAGGTTGGAGCACTTGAAACACAAAGTGACTGAAAGAGACAAGCATACAAGGTTCTACGAGATGCCCCATCTGCTGGTCAGCAGAAAATTACCCAAAGCAGATTGGTGCTTTCCCCTCCTCCCAGGGGCTTGCATCTCTTGGAGAAGACTCAGCATGGTGCTATCAAACTTCTTTGTCACTCAGAGTTTCTCACAAGACTGCCAGTTATAACAAGCAATT